AAAATCCTCGCTCGAATCTATCCCCTGTTTTCCTTCTTGTGGCCCCCTGACAATCATATCCAACATCAAATCCGTAATTTACTGGTGCATCGTTATATTTTTGTGGAATCCCTGGTCTCGGGATTATAGGGAATGAAATTGCTGACCAGGAGGCAAAGCGCGCCACAAAGGAAACTGTGGTAGACATCCTCAGTCCCAACAAATGATACCAAGGCGTTTATCAAACGCTGTATTCTCAATGCATGGCAAAGTGACAGAACTCAGATTTTAAACTCACGAGAATAAAGGACTCCTTAAAGTCTTGGTCTTCATCTCGTGGGTCAAGGCGTGAGGAGATGAATTTTACACGCCGTCGGATCGATCATTGTCATTTCTCCCACGACCATCTCTGCGGTGACCCACCACCTACTTGCGATAGTTGCGAGACTTTATCGTGCAGCATGCTCTCGTACACTGTTAGGAGATAAGATAGCCGCCGAGGATTTCACCTTGCTAGGTTTCTAGCACAGGTTTTTGGAAATAAATCGTCTCTCTGCAAGCTTTTTAGCTTCTTACAAGAGACATACATTTACTGTGTAATCTGCGAGGAGAGGGTTTTTTCTATTATTAGGCTTTTAATTGGAGATTTTATAGTGTTCTCTTTTCTGCCAACCCCTTTTTTAAAACTTGTATTTTCAGTTTTACTCACATTTTACTTTGCATTAAAAATGTTATAGTCTGACACTGCTGCTGTGCGTATTGCTCTTCAAATAATTTAACACGGCGCCAATGATCTTAGCTGTTAAGTTGTTAATAAAAAAAACTCTTAAACTGTGAAATTGAAGATTGCCTCAAAGTCTGTTGTAAAAAAAATAGCACTTTCAAAAACATCATGCACAAGTTTTTGAAAAGAGTAGTTTTTGCTTATTTAGCGTTTGAAATTTACAACAACAAAAATTGTTTCAAAATCGGCTTCAATTTTTTTCTCTAAATTTTCTCCTCATATGTTAATAAGGAACGGTAAATAATAGCCGGTCCGAATTTTCTGCGCCTCGTTGTCGTAATTCCCGACATTTGTACTTCGAATCGTAAAATTTGTATATTTCGTATATCTTTGTTCGTGTTTTACATTCGACGGTTGTTATACATTTACACATTAATCCTTCAGAAATTATTGAAAACCTATTTGAAATACTGCTAGTTTACAGGGAATATCAGATTGGAAGGCTGCAATGACTCGGAAGTTCATTTGTGTAATTGCGTCTTATTGTTGAGACATAATTTACGTGCATGAAAATCAGTTATAATTGTCAAATTTGTGTTGATATTTGCTTGAAAATATTTAATTCTTGCACCAAATTGTGTATGATTTGTAGTGAGTAGGGTTGGGCAGTATTTAAACAGTAGTATATGAAATACATAAAAATATAAGACAACAAAACGGAGAGTTACGTATAGAAACCAAAAGAGAGATTGCCGAATTGAAAACAGAAATCTTGTCAATAACTCAAAATCAAATAAAAAGAAATAAGGAAATAAAACAAAATATAAAAACTTAAGAGACAAAAAAAGGTAATATTTTGAGAATAACAAATACTAGAAGAACAAGAAGAAAGGAGAATAAAAAATAAGAAAAGAAATAACATAGTGATAAAATCAAACGGATTCACGACGATTTTGATATTTTCTTATGGTCGTACATTATATGTATACATCGTACAATACATTACGATATTTATTGTCCAGAAATTTGGGTGTCAATTACTATTTACTTTAATTGACTCAATTGTAATAAAAATACGTAATATAAAATTGTTTCATATTTAAAGGAATTTTAATGCAACGCACTTCCTGGAATTAATTTTTAAATGTGGAAAGTTGTAAACGTGAAAACTCTACAAAATAACAAGCCATTAAACCAAAGGCAGACGTTCTCGCGCTTTTTAGAGGATCGAGACGGAAACTCGCAGGTGTGCGTGTAGCGCGCTTCATTCAAATCAAGCGGCAAGTTTCTTACGGAGAGTTCTTACACTTCCTTCGGTGTACTGGGAGCAATGGAAATACCTTCACTCCTAGAAAGCCTTCCTATTGATATTAACCAGATTTTCAGCAAAGCTGAAATTTGATGGATGTAATACAAATATAAATTTCGCTGGATAGATATTAGAATGTAGATAAGTTCTGAATGTTTGCAACTTTCGAAAAATCAGGGTTTTCAGCGAAAATGGGGCATGCATCATTCCATAATACCTTTCTACTATCGAACCTTCGAGTCCTTCATACTATCGAACAATAAAATTTAATCAAAAACGTTGGAGCTATTGTTTTGTGTTGAAAATGTCCCAGGGCTTTCTTGGAAAGGAAAAGGAATAGCTAAAATTTCAAAAAATTTAACATTTCTTTATAATGTATTTAAAAAATGAATTACCTAACTAGTACAAAATAATTTACATAACTTTCGTACTAAAGGCTAGATAGTATGTGGTGTTTTAGCACCACTAGTTTTCTTTGGTCGAGGGTACAATATAAAATAGGTAAAATAAATAAAATATTAAAAATATAAGACCGGCATGTATCATTTATAGATTTTTATTTTCGTAAAATAACCTTAAGAGTCAGGCCTCTCAGCGACTCAGTTTTCTCACTTTACTTCGTAAAGAGAGCGTCTCCTGTATTATTTCAGTAGTATACATACCTTTTGCGGCTCTCACACACAATCGAACTTTATAAATGAGGTCTTTAAAGAAAGACAATTGCGCGGAGACGTGACGAATTGCACTTTGACTTTTAAAATGTGACGGATTTGTTGAAATACCGCTTCCGAATATTCATCTCAATTGCAACCCGCAGCACTGCCAGCTATATCGTTAAAAATCTCCTAAACGAAGCGTTCTAGGGCCTTAAAAACTAAAATTTTGAAGGTAAAGACTTCAAAGAAACGTTTCTCGCATTGTAGTCTGCCCGTTAAGGTTCTTAACACTCTGTTAAAATTTTTGCCGGTTCAACACTTATCGATACTACCGAGGCCACCTATATTTCATCCCTTGGTAATTGTCATCGTTGTGAAGTCACGCTTAGAAGGCTTGGATTCATCTGTCTTACACGATTACGTTTTCTGTGTACACCGTGGCTTGTGCTGACCAACGAGGTTTATTTGTATAATTATTAATTCACGATTCGCTCTTGCAGTAACAACGAGATATACTATTAATAGTTACTCTATTCCGATGTTTCTTATGCGTGTAGTGAAATCATTAATTTAACGTTTGGCCGAGATCTACAAGTGCTGTGTACTTAATTATGTTTACAGTGGAGTGGATGTGGGTTTACAGTGAAGAGTGCAGATGTGTCTTGTTAGGTATGGTTTGTGTTTTATCTGTACAAGTATTTTCGTTATTAGCTGTGATTCGGTGAAACTTTCAAGTCAGCGTGTTCAGTTACGTAGCTTCAACAATATTCTGTAAATTGTTCGAAGTACATATCCATATAATACTGAATAAACCTTTATTGAAAATTTGTTTCCAATATCAATTGCTATGTTTTTAATTTTTGTTTGATATTCTGTAAGTACGATGTTACATTTATACATTTTAACAAATAAACACGATTTATTAACAACTTTCCTTCTTAATGGAAAGGATAGGGAAAGGGGCATGGGAGAGTAGTATATTGTTATTCTAGTAGGGTGTATTATTGCAACTAGTAGCACTGTAATGCTACGGCGGAAATCGGCGATTTACTTTAGATAATAAATCATGATGGGACTCTAGTAAAGAAAACTTCTATATATCTTCTTTCTGTATATAGTAAATTACTTCCTCACACATGTCAGAATCGGAAAATTGGTTGACGGCAGAAGTCTCCGTCCGTGGTCACCGCTAGCGCGTAAACCGTTTATACGATTTTATGCAGAATTCATACTTCCTATTCCCCCATCGATCTGAACTAACTCAAGGCCCTGCGAGTTTGAAAAGAATATTTTGATTTTTGGCGGTACTTTTGATCTTGTACAGTTTTTTTGAAAAAACTAATTGTTTTCGCGTAATTTCTGTGTGAAGTTCACGCAATTTATAAAAAAACATCTCGTCTACAATTAGTTTCGTTGAATTTATCTACGGATAGAGCAAAAGATGTTTAAAATGGGCGCAGGTCTCATTTTCTTTGAACCCTTGACTCTTTCGAAGATTGCAAAAGTTAAAAATAATTGACAATTTATAGACAAAATAATTGACAAAGTCTAGTTTAGACTTTTTATACTATTCTCACTTTTTCTGCCAAATATCAATATTTTTACTTCTGTACAAAATTGATTTTTAATCAAATTTCTTATATACAATCATTCTGGTCTAATAATTCTACGAAATCCTAGGTAGAAACATTGAGAAAAAGTCAGAACAGCGGGAAAAGATCTGGTTAGAGAACAGGCCTGCCGCAGATGGTGAATTATAATTTGCCACTTTATTTTGCTTGTGAGTTCGGTTCTGTTGAGTCTTCTTTTCACGAGGGCAAGAATGTTTGACACTACCAGAAAGAAGGCATGTGATACTAGAGAACGAAAAATGTTTCATCTAGAACACCTGCTGGCATTTTTACGTGCGACAGGATACATATTTAATAAAATATTAAACATATTTTTGGTGCAGTTTTGAAACCTATGCAGGTGAAATGCCATATAAAGTTCAACTAAACAATCAACTCTGCAAGATATTTTTTGTGTGTAAAAAGTGACTAAAATTCATTGAAGAATATATTTGTATGTATTGTATAATCCACGTGTATCTTATTGTTTAAGTGTGTATTTTGTATTTGAAGATCACTAAAATGATTTTGCCAAAAACGTACCTTATTTTACAGTAATTAGTATGATTATAACTCATCTTTGCTTACCAAAACCCTTGATAAAGAACCCACTACTTCTATTAATCTCCAGTTTGTTTCCTGGAACCAAAGAGACGAAAGGCTTGTGTGTGTATTCAAAATAATTATACTGATTTTCACAAGTGCTAATCCGTTTTCCTTAGGTCGTATCTGATCGTCCAGGATATCATACAGAAGACTATATTTTTCCTGTGGGATTCTGCTCAACTCGTGTGTACGGAAGCTTGCGTGATCCTGAGAAGAAATGTGTGTATACTTGCAAAGTCCTTGATGGAGGGCAATCTCCAAGGTATTTTATCACTTTTTATACATGCTTGAATTTGATGTCGGGCATTTTCTTTTGATTAGTAGTGAGTGACACCTCATTTTCTTATCCCATCTCTCCCCACAATATCAAAAGTGATGTAACATCATGAAACAAATAGCCACTGTAAGGGGACACGACATTGGTATACATATTTATCAAGAAGAAAATTATTGTACATTAGAATCTTCTTTCATTTTTGTGCACATTATTTATTTATAGTCAAAAGCAATGAAAGTTGTTCATGACATGTAGGGGAGAAATATATCAGCGTACATTTTCTTGGCGTCCAGAATCTGTACCCCTCACTTTTACTACCAAGTTCGAGAATTACTAGTACAAACCCTGGAGGTGGCTGTCATTGACACAAAAACTGAATTTCAATACGTCTCTATCTACGCCGACGTCAATCGCTATTACCTTTTTACAAGGGAAAATGGAAATTGTAATTAATCAGGAGCAATCGTACTCGCACATTGAGTGAGACTATTTCACACTAAAACCATACTTTTCCTTAGACGGAGATCCATTTCAGAATCGCTTTCCCATTACTTCGGAAGGCAGTCTTGCCTATCTCACAAGGCTTCTACTAAGTAACGAGATGATGTATTTTTTTACGATATTCCACATTGCTTTAGTTTTGTTACTAGCGTTCAAAAAATCCTGATAATTTTTCATTATTTTTGCCTGAACTATTATTTTTCTTAAGATTCTTTTGTATTCTCGGAAGTAGACAATGAAACCGGGTGATAGGTTATGATGTTTAAAAATAAAGTAAAACATATGTTTGTTTTTACACAATGTTCTTGTACCTTGTGTGATCCAAGTATTATTTTTCCGTGAAATATTTAATTTTCTCATTTTGAGAGGAAAGCATTCGTTAAAGTGAGATGAAAGTTTTGAGAAAATATATTATATTGTTTATTTGTGTCAACAGCTTTATAAACTGTGTCCCGTGATTCCTTCAGCAAGTAGTCCGTAAATAAGTCTCAGTGTTTGTTATTAGTAATTGTAAGAATTTGTGCGTCATAGTCACTGTAACCTAGATTAGTGGTTTTTATTTCATATCTAGTCGTGGGTTTGTTAATTATCATTTGATTTATTCCTTTTTGTGATGTAAATGTATTCCGTGGAGGTACATTCACTGTAATATCTAAATTAAAAGAATGCAGTAAATTGAGAAACTGCTCTTTTTAGTAGGTTTCGTGAATATCGTAAACAATACGACCACATCATCTCATTACTTAGTAGAGAATGTTGTTTTAAAGGTTAATGAAGGAGAAGCCAGTAGTCCGGAAAAAGTGGCAAATCTCTTCAAGCAACACTTTTCTAGAATTGCGGCTGAACTCACGAAGGAACAAACTTTACATTGAACATCTTTACCTTCCCAAAAAATTTTGGACACGATTTTTATTTCCGAAACTACTTCTAACGAAATCTTACGAATAGTCAGTAAACTAAAAAAATAATATTCATCTGGTTTAGATGAATTTACGAATTGTTTATTGAAAATTTCTGTACCTGCCTCTATACACCCGTTAACTCATATTTTCAATGCTTGCTTATCCACAGAAATATTTCCAGATCATTTCAAAACAGAAACGATGAAGCCACTTTTTTAAAAAAGGAGCAAAAATGAAATTCATAATTGCCGACCAATTTCTCTTTTGTCAGGTTTCTCTAAAATATTAGAGAGGCTTTTCTATAAGGGAATGGAAGCTTTTCTCGGGAAACACGAAGCGGTTTCAGTGTCACAACACGGGTTTAGAAAATCAAAATCTACGGAAACTGGCATTTTTTAAAGATGTTGTTTCATCAATGCGCCGAAAGGAAGCGCCCATTAGAATATTTTTAGATCTTTCGAAAGCTTTTGACGTTATTGACCATAACATTTCGCTATCAAAATTACCTTCTTATGGAATTCGTGGTATTGCCCTAGACTGGATAACTTCGTACTGGAACGAAAGGATATTATTTACTTTCTTTCGAATTCTTTACCAACTGAATATGGGGTTCCTCAAGGCTCCACCTTAGGTCCTATCCTCTCTCTGTTATACGTAAACGATATGCTGTCATCTATTAAAAACGGAAGAACGGTTCTTCGGTTTGCCGATGACACGAATGTTCTTTGCAAAAAATAAACTATAAATAGTACTATTTTAGACGTTTCAAATTGGTTTTGTAATAACAAATTAATAGTTAATGATGGAAAAAGTTTCAATGCATTTTTGCCTTTCAAGTCAGCTGTCGCATGCTCCATTGAAAATAAATAATATACAATTAGCTGATGTTCAGGTAACAAAATTTCTTGGCCTCAATTCAGACAAACCTCAAATGGAATGTACATATAACAAAATTAAACACCTTATTAAGTTCATTATTTTACGCATTCAGAATTCTGTCAGCCTTCATGCAGCTCGTTGTGTATAATTTGCAAATGTACATTCCCGCCGGAGATATGGTATAAAATTCTGTAGAAACTCATCCTGCAGTACTAGGACCTTTTAAGTTAAAAGTAAAACACTTTCTGCTGAGTAACTGTTTCTATACTATTAGAAACTATAATGATTATCAAAAAGAAAAATAATGTTTATTTAAACGAAACAGTGATATGTAATGAATTAGTTTACTTTGTATTGTATACTTTTTTTAAATACTTAATATGCAACAAATAATGTGCTTCTGCTTCCCGGTCAATAACCCCCGTCTCGATCAGGTTTTTGTCCAGTTTCCCTAAGCAAATGCTGAGATGGCCCCTTTTTCTGCTTCTGGGCGTAAATGTTGCTTCACTATGCGCACTTTATTTTGAATTCTCCTTTTGCTTGTAATGGTAAGGGTAGAGGTAAGGGCGAGTTGATATTTTGTTAGCAATGCAGAAAAATCATACTTGCAATTCGTGCCCCGATGCAAGTTTTCTGTAACTCAGAAATTAAAATGACAATTTTTCAAATATTACCAATCTTGCGATTTTTGAAATTTATTTTTATTTATGTTAAACTTTTACTCATCTTTCAACTATTTATAGTTAAAATGACGGGAAGGGATTCTGGAACTCAAGAAAACGTGCGCAGAAAATCTTTTCCCCCCTACGTCACACAGTTTTTACTGTTTTCTGACTGAATAAATCTAAATCTAAACCTAGCCATCTTATTTCTTCGTTTTTCCCTGTCGTCAATAAGAGACGTGGGTTTTCTTCTGTATTCTTATTGCGAAATACCTTTACTATGAAAGGGGCCATCTCTTTTCTCTTACAGAGGTAATAATGAAAGGGAATTACAAGAGGGAAGTAAATGACAGTTGAGTTAACAACTAGTTAATTAGTAAATACTAATTATTAATGTTAGGTAAATAATGAAATAAAGTATCACGGGTTCTAATGATCTCGGGCGACAAAAAGCGTTTGGGCCAAGGGCCCTAGGTGGATAAATAACTATTTTATGCACCGTCTATTGTTTCTGTAACTAAGGGAAGGGAGAGTTCGTTTTTCCTTCGGAAAAGTTCCCTAAGAACATTTTTGCCTTATTGTTGCGGCTTCAGCACCAAGTGGAAATGCCACATACTGTAGCAGTACTTAGGCGATTGTTGAGGAAAAGGTGTCGTTTCTCGTAAAATCTTCAGGAACACTGCCTTTGACATTCCGTACCTGTTTACGAACTGAGCGTCTTCCAAAAGACAAAAATGAATTTTCTGGAGATGCATGCGATCTGGACACATGCGCCAATTTAATAGCAAAGAGTTAAAAAACAGTCAACAAAATACAATGCACGCATTTGATGCATCCTAACATCACAACGTGAGTTTGAGACGTCTAAGTAGTTGATGACAGGGTGTACTGGTCGGTAATTCATTTGACGAATATTTTGATGATCGACAAACGAAACGACCTTGGTGAAACGTAAATGTCGTTTAGGGAGCGTTTTGTGAGCATGTGAAAAATCAATAACGATTTTTTGTTCATTGTTGTCACCTGTTACTAAGTTAAGCTTAAAATCGACAAATGGAAAAACAGGATCTTAAACAGGGTGCGTAGGCTTCCGCGGCCAGAGTAATATCTAGGCTATCCTGGACGAGCCACGTCACTGACATGGTATCATAACGTTTCGGCCAGGGTATTGTGGACTTCCTCAGAGCGTACTCAGAAGCGTAGGGTAACGACGAGCGGTTCAGAAAGCGCTGAAATAGGGTCAACGCCACGCAATTGTAAGTGAACTTGTGAATAAAGGGAACGTTTCTCGGGGCAGTAGAAGACAAGTAAGTAAAGTCAAAAGATTCTGGCCATTTAAAACATTTTTTTGCCTGCAGAACTGTGAGAAATATATGTATTTAAGTAATGTTATTCAGCGTAACAATGATTGCTTCAGTGTGTAGTCATTTTACACATAATTTGTATAAAATTTAGTTAGTTTAAATAATGCATTCAAAAGCTAGTGCCATTAGTTAGGTTGAACTGAAATTCAGGTAATTTCACGAGTAATTTAAATAACGGGAATTCCCAGAAAATAAAGTATGTGCTCATAAAAGTGAATAAACATTCAATGCAATATTTAAGAAAAAGATACAACTTTTCTTTCTTCTGTGATTCCTTTGTGTGTGTGTGTGTGTGTGTGTGTGTGTGTGTGTGTGTGTGTGTGTGTGTTCACTGTATTCAACTAAGGGTTGCAGAATAAATTAAATCAGTTTACTTGATTTATGTGTACCTGTGTTTGGATTTCGTCCATAAAAAGGAACCTCTTCAGAAGAGAAACCTATGTAATGCTGTGCAAAAAAAAAAAAAAACCGGCGAATTTTCGGCAGAAAAACTTATTACAAGTCCCTAGTAACGAAAAAGTGGATAAATCCAATGGCTATGTTTAGAAAAAATACTAACACGTAAAGTAGCCAGAATCCATGATTCTGTAATGTAGGCAGAATCCATGATATGGGTCTTTGATACCGAAAAATTGATTGACGGCAAAACCGTCTGTTTCGTCAGTCTGTGGATGCTA